GATGTGCAGGGTGCGCAAAGGATTCCACACCCAGACTTTTCTTGAAACAGTGAACAACTGAGATGAATCAAAATAAAGAATTCATGATTGAAAAGGGTTGGGTATGAAATGGATTGGACAGAACCACTGGCTTCAGTTCAATGTGGATATCAGCCTCAAGTTTTAAAAAAATCTTTAAAAGGGAGACTTAAAAAAAGAGATTATAAGTTTAGAAAAAAAAAAAAAACCCACTCAAGCTCCAGTTAGTAAAAGGGGAAAACCTCTGAAGATAGTTCCTCTGAAGAGGAAATGTCACAGACTAACAAATGGTGACATGCTGCTTCTTCTGGTAGTTGAGGAAATAAAAACAATGGAATCCATAGGATTTTCCACCTACTGAAGCGAAAAGCTATAAAAGTGAGAATATTAATACTGATTGAAACTGACCAGTGCCAGCCACTGACATGTCACTTGGTTCAGTCCTAAGGGTGCGGTGTTTGGTGAGTGATTTGGCAATGCCTTGAAACTAATGCATGCCTTAAAACTTAAAGGTTGTAGAACTGTTTATGCTTTTTGAATAATCTTAGAAATTTACAATAAAGAAATAATTCTATTTTTGGGAAAAAAATTCCCATACCAAAATGTTAACTAGGATGTTCAGGATTATTTATGATAGCCAAAATTTAGAAATAACCTAAACGTGGACATGTGCTCAGGCGATCCTGCTTTCTTCTTCAGTACTACTCGGCAAGCCTCTTACCATGTCGATGAAATTATTACTTTTATAATAAACAAAATTTTAGAGGAACATGGAGTTCTATTTATTACACACACATCTCCGTACACATAAAAGACTAATGTTGTAGGGTATTATTTTGTTGGTGACATCTTTCAGGTGAAGCCCCATTCAGGGCTTCATTGTAACCAATTGAACCCAGAGAAAGACTGAGAACTCACTGGCCTCCGACTTGGATCCATACAGTCTCTGGCAGGAGTCTGCAATCCCTAAAGGCAAGTCGGTATCTGCCATCTAGATCCTTCTCCAAATGAAGGCTGACTTTTATGTCTAATTGCACGTTAGCTGTGATGGGCTTTAAGACCAGGAGCCTGTGGGAGGGAAGAGTTAAGGCTGGTAGGAGAGAACCTCAAAGCTTACTATACCCCCATTTGTTTCTAGAATGAGGGTCCGCCTTGTTTGCACAGAAGCCTCAAAACCACCCTGTTAAGGTCGTTTTCTCATTGCTCAAAAGAGGAGATTCTNTTTACAATAAAGAAATAATTCTATTTTTGGGAAAAAAATTCCCATACCAAAATGTTAACCAGGATGTTCAGGATTATTTATGATAGCCAAAATTTAGAAATAACCTAAACGTGGACATGTGCTCAGGCGATCCTGCTTTCTTCTTCAGTACTACTCGGCAAGCCTCTTACCATGTCGATGAAATTATTACTTTTATAATAAACAAAATTTTAGAGGAACATGGAGTTCTATTTATTACACACACATCTCTGTACACATAAAAGACTAATGTTGTAGGGTATTATTTTGTTGGTGACATCTTTCAGGTGAAGCCCCATTCAGGGCTTCATCGTAACCAATTGAACCCAGAGAAAGACTGAGAACTCACTGGCCTCCGACTTGGATCCATACAGTCTCTGGCAGGAGTCTGCAATCCCTAAAGGCAAGTCGGTATCTGCCATCTAGATCCTTCTCCAAATGAAGGCTGACTTTTATGTCTAATTGCACGTTAGCTGTGATGGGCTTTAAGACCGGGAGCCTGTGGGAGGGAAGAGTTAAGGCTGGTAGGAGAGAACCTCAAAGCTTACTATACCCCCATTTGTTTCTAGAATGAGGGCCCTCCTTGTTTGTACAGAAGCCTCAAAACCACCCTGTTAAGGTCGTTTTCTCATTGCTCAAAAGAGGAGATTCTGGACTGGGGAACAGGAGTGGCTTCCTCCAAGTCATGCATCCAGCCTCTGGCTGAGTCAGACAGGTCTGCATTCAGGGTGTCTAACTGATACCTGCTACCTCTGGCTCTGGGGACACATAGAAAGAAAAAGGTTGGTTCTGTTGAGGCTCAGAAAAGCAAACCCCAAACTGAAGGCTTCAGAAGCAACCTCAAAAGCTAAGTTTTTCTCTGACCTTCTCCTGCCCTCCTGTCTCTCTGCCTCATTCTCCCCGGAGGCAAGTCATAGAAACTAGAATTCCTCTTCCCCCAGGCAGGTCATAGAAACCTCCCCAAAGCCAGCTGTAAACACTAAACTTATACTTTCATCTCCCCCATCTCATCTTTCTATCTTGGAGCTAGCCATAAAGAAATTCTCTAACCTGCCTTGTTTGATTGTAGTTCATTAGACCCCCATTCCAGAAGGAGTCCCGTCCTGTACGTGGGAGGAGTGAATGCTACACAGACAGTCCGAGAAGAATCTGAAGACTGGCCTTGCTGGGGTTCCCCACTCAGTCTATTAGCATTAGGTTATATTTTTCTTGTCTAATTGCATTTCTACACAGCTCTTCCTGTTTCATAGACCCTAAACACAAAAATGAACAGTTTTCTCTATTTCTTTAGGTCTTCATTCTGAAGGCTCCCTGTGACATAAAACTATGACCATTGGTTACACCTTTCCCCCATTAATCTGTGTTTGTTAGCTGATTTTTCTGTGGAACTTCATGGGGTTGAAGGAGACAGTCTCCCTTGGCCCCTACAATTGTAAGTATGGCATCCTATCAAAACTGAGGAACTGCGTCTGACCTTTGGAAAGTACCCTTACAGAAGTCCTGAACTCCATTACTGCGAGGGCCAGGCTTGAAATGGAAGTGAGTGAAGTTGACTAGGGGCTAGTTTCATGGGAAAGGGGAAGGCTGAGGTGAACTGAAGGGTGCTGGCCTCTGAAATACACCTGCAGACCAAACAGAACCTGTCTGTGCGCCAGATACAACCCCTGCAGTGATCCGCAGGTGACGGTGCCGAGGAGCATGTGGCTTAGAGCAGATTCTTGTCTTACGTCGTGATTATTCAGAGCTGAGTGGGCTCAGGGAGTCCAAATAAATGAAGGAGGGACTCTGTGGATGAGCAGGGAAGGGAAAACTGCTCACTCCATGCTCCCTACAGGGGCCCCAGGTTTGATGCGCTTGAGTATTCTGGAAGTCCCTAATTCTACCCTTGGCATGACCCAGGCCATTGAGGTGGGTGTTTTGCCCACACAAATCTGTGGCCCTTTGGTTATAGCTACTCCTCACCCCCCTGAACACCTGTGCAGAAGGGGTGGAGCCTGTAAGACTCTTACTTACTGAAGAACCAAGTCAAATGCCAGTGGTATTCATAAGTACAGCTCATTTCTGTCAGGGCTGTTCTCAAGGGAGACTTGCAGGAGTCGAGGGTCTTTCAACTGTATCCTGGGTGAAGAAACAGCACAACAGGAGAAAGTGATGGCTTCTGCAGCAGTTGAACCTCGCTTTGTGCAAAGACAGGTCTCTTGCAGAGCAGAAGCTGAACGTGTACTCATTCATTAATCATGTTATCCATTGCACAGCTACTGTGTGTTATAGGCACGAGCAATACATCCTTGAGCAGAGAAGAAGCTCTTGTGTTAATGCATCTCAGAATAATCATGTCAAGCCCTTTGCCCAGCACCAAGCAGGCTGCAATAAATGAATAAATAAAAGATTGGAAGCCATG